TTGTATACATTGTGTCACTATTAAATTAAAAAAAAACTAAACCCACTGCATTTTCTTTTCGCTAACTGCTTAAGTGATAATCACCGAGTTATTTAGTTATCCACTACTGCTTTATTATATCGCCACTATGACACTTGTTCTGAAAAGCATAGATGGATATGCAATTTTTATTTCAGTTTACACACTGTAAATGTCATAAAAAGATGCGGCTACTGCCGCCTACTGGCTGGCACAATATCTAAGACTTTTAGAACTATCGAGCATTCCTATAAGTATCAATACCTGGAAGGGTAATGTAACAAAAGTATCTAATATTCTTTTTAATATCGGTATCGACACGAAATAATCGATACCACCATAGACGTAGTATTTATTCTATATCTATGGATACTACTCAGGCCAGGTATCGATACTTTTTGCGGATCAGAATCTGAAGAAGTGGCACGCTATGATGTGTTTATTAACGTTTGTGCGAACAGGAAGTTCCATTTATTCAATATTCAAAATTTGTTCTAAAAATCAAAGAAATATTTATTGTTCTTTATTGCCACTAGAGACGTGCATTTATTCATAAAATTAATCAAATCGGTAATTTTAGGGCGTGGAATGAAAATTTTACAAAACTATATTATTCCATAATAGTGCTTAGACCACAATATATAGTATAATATGGTCTAACTATTATTATGGTTCTAAATACCTTTTCTAGTTTCAGATAATTAAATACAGGTTATATAATTTTAACATAAAACACCAGCCATTTGTTATTATCTCTAAAGGATTAAGTAAATTAATTTAATTTATTTGTATTATTATTATTATCATTAAAAGCTGTATGTATTCATCGCACAACACTGCATTTGTATTCTTATATCAATAAGATCGCTCACTTAGACAACATTCATTCATTTTGTTCAATTATTTAGCTAACATCTTGCAATATTGTTTAAAATACCAAAGATAGGTACCTATACTAACATGTCGATAAGACTCGCGTTTGATTTTAATAGGAATTATATTGTAGATGTTTTTTCGATAACAAATTGGTTTTTACGTCACTAATTTAATGTGTCAAAGATTTTTGACAATTTGACATTTCATTGACAGAATTTTTGAATTCTTTCTTTCTTTTTTTAGAAATTCCCTTTGATAAGGAGAAACTTACATTTTTTATTCCAAGGCGGCGTTAAAAATCATGGCTTTATCCATGTTTAAATTATCCTCCGCTTTAATAAATTCATCCAAAAATTTGCGATGTGTCGTCCGAATTGTGAACAATAACAATTTTTCTACAACCACTGCTGTAGCGGTAAGTTGCATAATCAATACATAATTCAAAATAACTTTTTTTAATAATGTATTTCTTTGTATTTTTCTTTCTACAAAAGTCTCACTTAAATATTGTGTTACAATGTGAGGCTTGAAGTAAATACATATAAATATAAATCTACCGGCATTTATTTCTCAACTTTCGTGTTTTGAAAGTCCCTAGAAGTCTAGATTATTTCCCAAAAAATCGGTAGATCAATTTTATAACTAGGTTTTACTTTCAAAATAGGTATTTAAATTTATGTAGTTTCAACATATTTTGTATCTTGCTCTATGTTAGTATGTTGTTACCAAGATTTTAGCCAACCCAAGTAGTAAACGGCAACTCAAAGCTGTTAAGTTTTACTAGCAATATGCTTTAGATTTATATGAATGATGAGTTTATGCTTTATTGCTACATATCAGTAATGACATTTCGAATAGGTTGCTAATAGAAAATATACTAAGCACAAGGTTAGTCCTATTATTTGGTTCATATGTTTCTATTTGTTTTTATTATTGATATTTCCCTACCAGATTTTTCATGCAAATTTGATTTAAGTCAGTCTGCCTATCTATCTTTGTATATATTATTATATTTATGCAGTATATATATTTGTAGTTAGTATGGGTAGTTATGGGTAGTCATGCTCTCATAATAGTCTCTTCGGCGTTGTTGTGTGAGGCGGGTCGTTACGTTCCCTAAAATATGGTTGAGCGAAGCGATGGCTGGTTCATGCGTCATGCTCGTGAACGGGTGCTGCCAGCGGAGATGAGTCTGCCCTAACTTCCTTAATATTGAAGTTAATGTTTAGTCACACTGAATATAAATAACACTATTTGTATTTATACTGTATGACACAGCAATCAAAATGCAGGTAAACAATTAATGTATATTTAATAATTATGTAATGAAAAGTGACTTCATGAATCACCTCTGAAGTCATTTTTCAATTTGACGACTCTGTAAATAATAAAACAGGGAGAAAAAAACAGCCCTTGCTGAGTTTCTTGCCGGTTCTTCTCAGTACAAGGTCTCCCGCCGTAGATTTACGAACCGATGGCGTAGCTTCTAGACATTCATATGTGCCTGTAACAGCCTAAACTGAATAAATGATTTTGATTATGATTGATTATGATTATGATTATCCTAAGAGTCAGAGCAGACAACATTTTATTGAATCATTTCCACCCCAGACAAGGCAGTTTCAGACTCGGCAAGTCAGACAATGTTGTATTGTGTCTCCGATACTGTTTAACATCTACACAAAACTCATTATGAGAATAACACTTGAGCATTGGTCAGATAGAATCAGTATTGGAGGCTAGTTATGCAAAAACTGTAGAAAATGATTACTAAACTATTAAATCACAATATTTCCAGAAAATGCCAGAAATCAAACTGAAAAACTAAAAAAAAACAAGCTCACAAATAAAGTACCAATTAGGTACTGGCAAAGCCATCTTTTAAAAATGAAGTTTTTCTTGGAAATATCTCATATATGAGTAGATGCCAGGTCGTCAAACCTAATAGCCAGACAGACCAGCCAGTTTGGGGGGACATTTGGGTAAAAAGGCCGGACACCCTATATTATTAAGGATTTTGTGACTCAGTAATATAAGGTACAACAATAAATTTTATGTAGGGAGCGACCAACAGTCAACACATTTGCATTCAGCCATGATCAGTGTACGATCATTTGCGAAATGTATAAAACCTAACAAAAGCATGACACTGTTTATTATGGCCAGGCATGCAATAAAAAGGCTAACTATGCCCTGCTTTATCTGGACGCCTGGAGGGATTGCAGAAGCAAAAAAAAAATTTCAAGGGAATGGGAGTGTAACACCAAATACTATAGTATGTAAACCATTAGTAGGTCATATTATATCATGTAGGTATATTAGTTACTATTTTCTGAAAATAAATGTTGTTTTATAATAAAATTGTAATTTGCACAGGGCTCAGTGGATATATTATGAAAACTCTCCAATAAACCTGTTTTTACCAAAAAAACACTCGAAGATCATCTTTGCAACAGTGAGGTTCTTCATGGAATCTGGTGTCTGGATCCCAGGCGGCCTTCTAAATTCATTTTGTTATGTTAGCATTTCACATGGCCATTCATATTTGTCATAAATATCCATATCATGCTCTATAAGGAACATGATCGGGGGCGTCCCAGTGAAGTGGCGCACACTAAGGTGCGCCGATCCTGAGACGTCCCCATATGGGCGTAGGAGGGTACCGGTGGTTTTTAGTGGGTAGGACCGGCGTTGTTCCGCGCCGGGGAGTCCTACACACGCCGCGCGCCCAGCCAGCGCGCTGTACGGTGCGTAAATGCATTTTCCATCGTCAACAAGAAAAAAAAGGGAATGAAAAGAAGGGATTGTTGTCAAATTTACTTAGATGAGTCAAATACAAATATTTACGTGCGTAAATCAGAAGCAGCACGCAGGCCCTTAGACTTTAGTTACAGTAACACAACGAAACTCACTAGTTGGTTACCTATCTCTTAAATCCTTAGACACCAAACCCTGTCTAAGGATTTAAGAGATAGGTAACCAACTAGTGAGTTTCGTTGTGTTACTGAAATAACCGAAGCCCTAATTGAATAGATTCCTACGTACGTGGTACCCGATAGCATTTCAAATTGCTGAACGATTGCCCACAGATAACAAGTAAGAAATTTGTGCAGCTGATATAACAAATCATCGTAAATAATTCTCTGTACATTCCTCGTTTCGATTTCCGGGCAGTTAGTAGATTGGTAGGTAGTTTAATGTAAATAATTAGATTTATGGAACACACCCACCCATACACTTATTTACTATTATAATATATTAGACTTTTCTTCTTTAGGAATAACGAGAAAAACAAGATTGACTATTAACTACAGTACTATCTTAAACTTTGTTATAATTAAAAATAGTTAATCTGGTAACATATATATACATATACTTGTTCAATTGTTTTCATTTTTGAGAATGAAACTGAGAACAACACAGGCTTGTACCTAGTTTGGTGACAGATTCTCTTTAATTAACATTAATGTTACTGTGTTACGGGCCGTTCAAGTATTACGTAAGCACTATACGGGGGGCAGGGGGTGTGAATAAAGTTTGTTTAAATGAATATTATGTGCGTTAAAGTCCTCTATCCTAAGCCTATTTAAGTAGATACTGCTGCTCATGAAGCTTACGAATCATTAAAAAAAACAGAATACATTAATGGAAAAATGCATATACCTAGGTGCCGTAAGAGCTTTGCTTACTTTTGCTGACATGGGGGAAGAGGGGGTAAATACCTGTAATAAATTTGCTTACGTAGGTAATACTTGAACGGCCCCTTATTGTTATAAGTTGCTAATTTAACAGTGTCCTTCTGTAACTTATTTAAGAAAATATTTAATAATTATTATTATTATAATGTAAGAAAATAAACAAGATTTGATGTACCTCTTTATCGTGATTATTTAATTAAGACAGGCACAGCAAAACCGACATTTACCAAATCCAACCTGTTTCATAAAGCGCAACTATCGCTGTAAATAGGATCATAAATTGTTTTATCACGATATACTTCGCATTGTAAACAACATGAATTCCTAATTATTTATAGCGAATTAGGTAGGTAGCTCCCAACATGTGAGTGATAATGTGACGAGAACGCGATTACGCGACCGCATCAGTACACCCACCAGTTGCGACCAGAGTGGTCGAGTACTTGATAATAAAATCGTATAAAAAAGCACGCGGGACGAATTTCTGCACTGACGGGGCGGCAGACCGGTCGATCGGGTGTTGCTTTATCTTTCATTGGCCCGCGTGGCTCTAAACTCGTTTTGGTTCCATTTGGCGCTCAAAAATAAACAGTTAGTCTTTAGCTAGCAATATTTATCGTGCCGCACTTGAGAGCTGTATAAATATATTAAGTTAACGCTGGGTTGTGATTTCCTTTTTTTCCGTTAATTATGTCTTGTTCGTGTATGGATCCCGATAACAAATCAGTAAAGATGGTATGTATTTTATTAATTAATCTTTCGATTACACATACATTTCTATCTATCTATCTTTGTGTAGACTGGCTGCTGTCTGAAGACTACAATTGATCTAGTTTAATTTATTTTCAATAAAAAAATATGCATTTTATCAAAAAAATGGTTGCCTGTAAAGTCGGTTTTACGGGCGAAGATTTTACGTGACAACGTCTTTTTCTCGGTAGAATATTTATTGATATGAATATAATTAAATTGCACAATAGGAACAAGGAATTGAATGAAAATAAGAATTGCACAAATTTTAACTATAGAAATATATTTTGTTTACTAAAACATTGTACATGTAAACTTAAACTTAACACGAGAGACTCATCGTAACGTTACCGAGCGTTACACTTTTTCATAAGTGACTCCCAGCCGCAACCTAATTTAAGACGTTGTCACGTCAAAACTAGGGAATGCTAATATATACTGTCATGTGACGTAACTTCTTAAATACGTATAACAAATTCAACTTTTATTTTAGGTATTTTTAGTCCGAATTTGTTATAATAATATTTTTCTTAACTGTACTCTGTGTATCGGCTTATTAATTTATCCATCATATTATTATTTCAAATAGTTTATCTAACATGCCTTTAGATTAATTTATTAAATTAATTTCATTTACTTTCGTAATTGCTAATGCTAGTTTAGTATTAAATAAAACAAATTGGTTACTTTTTGAATATTTAAATAAAAAAATATGCACTGTATGCGATCGATGATACATGTCAACTGGGAATCGAACCCGACGCGCCACGCATTTAAATGTTTGTGGTAACATTTTGAAAGAAGAAAAATTCAAGCCAAATAACATTTAAAGTTTTCTATAATATCATAATAACATTTTTAAATCTTGTGTAACAACTGAGATACCTACTAGGCCTATTATAAATTTTCTAATGAAATCACTTGTGTGTGCAACAAGTTGGTCATGGTCCGACATTGTTCATATTGCATATAAATGATACCAACTACTTATACTGGACGGATATTTACGATCAAGGTGTAAACGGCATTGAAACGACTGTTTCACTACAACACAGATTAATACAATGGACAATAAAACTGTCCACATGTGACACCATTCAATGGAGGATTCGAGGTTCCAATGCAGTCAATTACAGATATGCCATTAAATCATACCGATACACCATCGGCATCGACATTTCATGTTATCCTTCCTATCCTTCTATGTTTCGATGTCTATAAACTTTAATATAACTGACTCGGCGTTTAAATTTATTTAATTAGTCCATCAATTTTATGAAACTTGTTATTATTGAACTTTTTAAACATTTAACTGCCTTGGTGTTTAAATCTAAAGAAAATTTTATTAGAAAAAATCAGATCAGATGGGACTCGAACCTGCAGCTATCCGGGCGGATGCATTGACCAATTTAACACTTAACGATACTTTTTAGTTGAAAATTTCCATTGATAACCGAATTAGTTAATATTTCCAATCAAAAGCGAATATTTATTGCCACTCCAGGTTTAGTGTCTTTTTATTTACGAGTACCGTAGTAACTTTTAAAGATCAAAGGTATTTTAAATTTAGATTGTTGAATTACTGAAACTGATAACACGCATGTTTTTATTGATTTCAGCGTAAGGAGAAGGACACGTTTGGCGAGTTAGATGTGCCAGATGACAGGCTGTATGGCGCACAGACCATTAGGTCTGTCATGAACTTTCCCATCGGAGGCATTGAAGAGAGAATGCCGGTAAGTAACTGTATGGGTTTAAAGGGATAGGTAGAAATTGGGCGACCGCCTGGGGAAGAGACCTCCCCCTTACTGTAGACAATGCACGGTAAAAAAACTGATTTCATAAAAACAAAACCACCAAAAAGTTATGAAATTAATACCATATTCTTTACTTTTGTCTAAAAGACATTTAAAGTAAATTTACGTTTGGTCCCGATGTATGCCCACCGACTCAAACAACATGCATTAAAAATTTGAAGTCCGTTAAAAATACTGTCTTTTGGCGTTATTGTATTCTGTTAGTGAGTAAGACTTCAGGGCTCCATGGGATAGGGGATTGGGTTAAGGCTGGCTGGAGCTTCACATTTTTCTGCCGCACCAGCAAGCTGCCCTCACGAAGTTACGACTGAACTCCACTTCCACTTAAGATGTTACTGGTAATAATAGTTCAATGCTATAACTGAACAAAACAAGCAAATCTATAGTTCGAATTTAATTATTTATAATTTATTACATAGTCATAGCAACAAATTTTTACTATGACTGTGTGATGGCTGGAGCGCCACATTTTTCTGTCGCATCAGCAAGCTGCTAAACTCCACGTCCACTTGTTAAGTTGTAATAATTATAATATAATGTTATAAAGAGGAAAGATTTGATTTTTTGTTTGTATTGAATAAGCTCTGAAACTACTGGAACGATTTGAAAAAAATCCGACGACTTCCGTATAAAAACTTACATAATTTAACCCAACGTGTGAAAAAATACAAAAAAAACCTTTTATCGCGTACGCTGTGGAAGTCATTGACAATAGAGAAAAGTGTTGTACTGAAGTTTTATAGAAGACATCAATATTTACAAAAAAATCTTCTAGTGCACAAAATTTAACACTAGGTCGAGGAGAAAAAGTCGATAACATCATGTTTCTTGTACGGCCCAATTATTTTTTATTATTACACATGCATTCTAACAACAATAGAAATATTAATTCCGACGAACGGACAGCGGAGGCTTGTGGTACTAAAGGTAGACCGCTTAACTAAGTCTTCGCCTGGTACAGTGTGTGGAGGAGGACGAGAACGGGGGCCGTGAGAGGTTCGGGCGGCGGGCGCTTGTAATTTTGACAAGAATGTGCCTCCCGTCTCGTCTGTCGTCGTAGTATCACTAGCCTCCGCCACGGCTGTCCGTTCTTCGGAATTAATGTTTCTATTGTTGTTATAATAAATGTGTATGATATAATAAAAAATAATTGGGCCGTACAAGAAACGTGATGTTATCGACTTTATCCTCGACCTAGTGTTAAAGGAGATTGCTCAAATTGGCCTAAATGCACAAAAAATATGGACAACCACGGTAATTCTTGGCGTAATTTATAATTTAATTTACAGTCATTAGATTTCAACGGACACCTTTGTATAATATATTTACTTTAAAAAGGACTTTTCATTTTACCGGTTTGGAAAACATACGAATCATTTTTAATGGCTATGGGTGTAGAAACATTCAGCCAAAGACTGATCGAAGTTGTTTATATACCATAAAAACAGATCTATTTTGTAAAGATCGAAAAAAAATTTTTTTTTTATTACACTGTGGTATTAGTATCCACTACTATATTATAATTTTCACTAGATGCAAATGTGCTCAGATTATAGATGGTAGGCGACATCATAAAGTCTATTGCCATACATTTTTCGCCAAACACCTCCATAAACACATTATAATCTGTATATATGTTAGACTTTAAGGTATCTATCTATGGACCTACGTTCCCTGACTATAAAAAAATAAAATTATAAGGTGTGATACACTAAAAATCTTAAATATGGTTATCTTAAAAACAACCTAACAAAAATAATGAAGCTACTGAATATATGGCTATAGAACCTAAATCTCTTAGCTTTCTTTGGTTAAAGAGAGTTTAAAAATTCTCTCTAATCTGTGGCTCATTCACAATCATCACACAGTTTCTGTCACAGAGTACCTTATTATAACCGGAAATGACACCTGATTTTAAAAGTTACTCTTATGCATTAACTTTAAAAACAGGCAACTATCTGTTAATCTACATGCTCTATATACCTGAATCTAATCCATAATTTCGGTACTTGGCTTGATTTCCCTAGTTTACTATATAACTTATTTGTTTTTAAGTATTTTAATATGTTCAGTGTATATGGTTTATAGAAGTTCTCAGGGGTGTCCGTCAATAATATTCGTTTCTACAGTAATTTATATATAACTTCGAATCTAGGAAACAATTTTTCATGATTATTGGTCTTTAGGCCAAACATGTATGGAAGCTGAGCAATCTCCTTTGTGCACTAGAACGGAACGCTATCCTTTATGAATAGCATATCATTATAGGAACATAGATTATGGGTAATCTAAATACCGGCTTATATGACTGTTATAGTGAAAAACTCACAGGCTGCTAATAACAGTCGTTAGCAACAAAAACAATGTTTGACCTCTACACCCATTGGTCTGTGCAAGGCTGAGTCATGCTTGGTAGCTTTTTTAATCTTTTTAAAATGTTTGCATAACAATCAGTGGAAGCTGTTTGCACTGATGACATGATTATGACATGTACTACCTTTTGGTGGTATTGTGTTTATGTCGGTGAGTAAGGTTGCAGGGCACCACGGGGTAGCGGATTGGGTCAGGGTAGGCAACGGCGCGAGTCATTTTTTTGTATCGCAAGCATCTATAGGCTATGTTGGCCGCTTACCATCAGGAGGGCTTCATACTTGTTTGCCATCCTTTTAACTTAAAAAAGAATGCTTAAATTAGGCAAAAGGCTGTAATGTTCAGTTTTTAGGTTAATCAGTAAGACCTAATAGTATTAACAATTTTAGCATTACGAATATCTTTTTGCATGGACAAACAACCTTGAAAGTTTTTCTCTATATTTTAGGAACACTATTTAGGCGATACTTTACGATTTTTAGCTCAAAAATCGTTATTACTTTAAAATTATTATTATTCAGTTTCTTTTTGTAGTAAGAGTCACATTTATTAAATTAACTGTAAATCTTGACTCAAGCTTCATAATGCTCAATGCCAATTGTAGAAAGTTGAAAGTTTTGGGTAACTTGACTTGTGGCTATTAATAAAATATTTATTGGTTTTTTATTCAATTAATTAAGTATGTCTGCTGTAATAACGAGTCACACGAGCGACCTACTTATATAATATAATTATAAGTACAAAGCCCCACTGTAAAAAAAATACAAATTGAATATACTTAAATTTTTTAGATACTACGTAGTTATAAATTTAGCAGTTAAATGCTTAAAATATAATAGTGACTATTAGTAAGTTACATGGTAAAAATAGATAAAGACCAAATTAGATATAATGTCTTAGTTGTTTGGAGATGTCTTCCAGACAGTAAATATCACAAACTAAAATGATGCAAAGTGGTGATGTAACCGCGTCGTCTTATTGTGAACGTTCCTATTTACACATACTGTTATCATTGAAATGGTTATCTTATAAAATATGTTTTTAATCAACTTATTCGGAGTTAAAATATTTCGATCTAATAGAACTAACTGCCCCCATTGTAGTTACTGACAAGTATGTATAAATATGTACCCCTATGTGTTACATTTAAAACTTATAACTAAGAGATATGGTACTTAGTTGAATTGGTAAACATTATTCCCGATTTTTTTTCACTGAAAAGTGATTTTGATGAAAAAAGTGAGTTTGTTGGTGAAACCATTTTAATTGCGTAATATTTTTATTCCTATGTAAAATCTCACGATAAAGTTTCCTTAGATAAGTTTCTTCACAATCTCTAACCTAATCCATTAATATCTTATACAGGATGTACAACAGAATACGACAGTTGATTAAAGGTTGTAGATAGATAATGCGTTTATTTTCTTCTTCAACATACATGTACATTTCCGAGTAATACAATAAAAAAAAGATACAAGAAATCAGCTATGAAATACCCATATGTATGCTGCAGTAAGCAAAAGGCCATGGCTCGACTAAACATTTGCCAGTTTTACGGCAAAATACCGATTTTCAGTCATCACCTTCGTAGCAGTCATCAACTCGGAAAGGGATCGTCAGCGTATCAACTGGAGCCGTTCGGTATTCTTTGTATGAAGCAGGGAGTTCTGCAACGCACACTTATCGGAATCGTAACGTAATTGCCCCGAGCCAAGCTCGTGTTTCTTCGTGAGGCGATTGCGTTACGATTGTGCGTTGCAATAGGGAGTTTCATACAAACAATACTGAACGACTCGAGTGATACGGAGACGATCTCTTTCTAAGTTGATATGTACGACCTTTAATGGGATTTGTGTAAAAATACATAAATAGTTTAAGCTTAAAATCTTAATTATTGTGTCTTAAGTTATATAGTTTGTTGTCTTATTTCTATTTTGAAATTAAATATTAACCTATATTTGTTTCAGTATCCAGTTATAGTAGCATTCGGAATCCTGAAGAAGGCTGCTGCCAAAGTGAATGTAGAGTTCGGCCTTGACAAAAAAATCGGTAATTCGTTTCATTAAATTTTCGCCTTTGTATAAGATCAGTCTTTGGGTAATAGCTAATTTATCATAATAATAAGTAAATGTATTTATAAAAAAATCATTTAATTTCAAAAATATTACGTAATATCCTATAGACTAGACTGTTTCGCTGTGCAAAAAAGTCAAAATCTACGTATAAATATTGCATTAAAACTACAAGTACTATTATTTTCAGATTAAATGACAACTTATGAAGATTATCCTATATTTTCTTACAAGTTATTCTTCTATTTGTTTCTTAGGTTTTCACGCACATCACTCATTAAATAAAACTAGTTTTTACGGGTTAATGCACGAAACTTTATTTATTTATTGACGTCGTCAGAATAATTCTGACGATGCAGACCCGAAAAGGCTGCGAAACGTCAATAAATAAATAAAGTTTCGTGCATTAACCCGTAAAAACTAGTTTTATTTAAGTTATTCTTCATCATAATAAATAGTTATGCTTAGTTATCAAAAATTAAACCTACTTATCTTTATTCGTAGCTGATGCTATTATGCAAGCGTGCGACGATGTGATCTCTGGAAAGCTGTACAAAGAAGGACACTTTCCATTAGTCATCTGGCAGACCGGGTCCGGAACTCAATCCAACATGAACACCAATGAGGTAAACGAAAAAAATGTACTATCGTTATATGTTAAAAAAAAAGATATTTATTATGATAATGTTCTAGCATGGTAGATTTTCATCATCATCAGCCTATTAAAATCCTCATGCTGAGACACAGGCCTTCTCTATGGATGCATTATAAGGATTGGTGCGTGCTAACGACTGCAGATTCAGCCAGGACCAACAGCTTAACATGCCTGTCGAAGCACGGCGAAGTTCGAGTTGACATGACCGACCATTGCGAAAGTTGCTTAACTTCCACGATAGCAGAGTGAACGCGCTAACCACTTGCGCCATCGAGCTCATGGTTTAATTGATTTTTATTTTATTTTTTTACTACTTTTGCTCTCTTCAGGTGATAGCCAACCGCGCAATCCAAATATTGGGCGGAAAGTTAGGCAGCAAGGATCCAGTTCACCCCAATGACCACGTGAATAAGTCACAGAGTTCTAACGACACATATCCGACGGCTATGCACATCGCCGTCGCTATGGAGCTTAGAGACAGACTTATGCCCGGTTTAGTAACTCTGAGGGACACTTTGGCCGCAAAATCCAAGGAATTCGATAAAATCATCAAGATTGGCAGGTAAGACAGTATGGCGTAGAACCTTTTAAGAGCTCCGTCCAGGAACCCCGGAACTATCCATAACGCTATTGCTGTGGAATTTAGAGGCAGACTTATGCCCGGTCTAGTCACAGTTGAGGGACACTTTGGCTGTTGCTGTGGAATTTAGAGGCAGACTTATGCCCGGTCTAGTCACGCTGAGGGACACTGGCCGCTAAATCCAAGGTTTCTGATAAAATCATCAAGTATGGCAGGTAAGACAATATGACGTGAGAATCGCTTTATATCAAACCTTTTAAGAGCTCAGTCAATACTCACCCAGGCACTATCCATATCGCTGTTGCTATGGAGTTTACAGACTGAGATCTCACTCATATTCGTGCGCCTATCTATCACGTTTGTATTAATTGGGCAATTCGTACATAGTTATACATACTTGGACTTGGTGTGACACATAGAAAGATTCTCCACAGCTAAAAAATTTACATAACTGATGGTAGGGAAAAAAATTTGGATGATCCAAAATATTTTATTATGCTTCCAAATTGTCTATGATATGACCATAAATTTATTCTCCAGGACCCATTTGATGGACGCCGTTCCCCTAACACTAGGGCAAGAGTTTAGCGGATACGCCGCGCAGTTAACGTACGGCATCGAGAGGGTTTGCGCTACTCTGCCGCGTTTGCATTACTTGGCGCTAGGTGGCACCGCAGTAGGCACCGGACTTAATACCCGCATCGGGTTCGCCGAGAAATGCGCCGCTGAGATCTCTTCACTCACTGGTAAGCATTCCTATATACATAAATCATATATATAAAATTCTCGTGTCGTGTTGTGTGTGTGAAACGGCTCCACCAATTTTCGTGAAATTTTTTATGCATATTCAATAGGTCTGAGAATCAGACAACATCAATTTTTCATCCCCCTAAATGTTGAGGGTCCACCCTTAACTTTTTTGGACAATTTTTTTTGTTTTTTTTATGATACATCATACAAAAAAACATACAACCCTAAATTTTCACTCTTCTACCACCAACCCCTATTTTTATATGGCGAAGTTCGCTGGGAGTGCTAGTATCCTTATAATTAATAGAATAATAAATTCCAATTAAACATTCCATTTAACCTTGTGAAATGTGTCTTCATATTTATACGTGAACACTAATAGCCATACGTTTTCCCATCGAAATAAATAAATAAAATACACACATCAAAAGTGTCTAGGGATCAACATATATTTTTGCAATAACTTTTCTCCTGATTGATATTAATTAAAATTTTCTTTAAGGATTCATCAAATAAAGTGTTTTCGTTTGTCACAGTAACGATAAACCAAGTCACCTTTGCATTAATAAAGAAATTTGCCATTTTCCTAATAAAGGGATTTTTGACATTTGAACCACTAACACAAAAGTTCGAAAAAAAGACTGAAATAACAGTTTTCTCTAAAATTTTATTGGGTAACTTAAACAATTAATAATCCGTATTTCTACCGCGAACACTAACAACACAAGAACATCGGTTTGGCATACTCAAAATGAGTTCATCCAAATCACGCTGTGGAATGGCCGCCCATGTTCGTTGCAACAACAAAAAAAGGTCTTCTTGCGACTGGATACCCTCCATATTCGGCAGAGCTCTTCTCTGTAGCATATCCCATGCATGCTCAATCGGGTTCAAGTCTGGCGACTGAGCAGGCCAGGGCAGGACATTGATGTTAGCTGCGGCGAGAGTCTGTCTTACAACTCTTGCGGTGTGCGGTCGTGCATTATCATGCATTAACTGAAATAAGGGACCGATTTGCACTTGTAGAGGAACGATGACGTCTGATACAATCGTCTCAGCATAAATTTGAGCGTTGAGGTTGCCTCTGATCCAAATCAACTCAGTTCTTCCGCCGATCCAAATACCCGCCCATACCATGATGGTTCCACCACTATAAGGATGGACTTCCTGGCAGGATTTTAATCGCTGTTGGCGTCCAGGGGTTCTCCAGTGTCGTATACGTCTTGTATCCGGTCTCATACCAAAACGAGACTCATCAGAAAAGCACACGAAACGCCATTGTTCTTCTGCCCAATTTCTGTGTTCAAGAGCCCATTGATATCGAATCCTACGATTGTGCATTGCTATAGGTGGTATCCGTAGCGGTCTTCGGGAATGAAGGTTCACTTCATGCAAGCGGTTTCTGACTGTTTGGTCGCTAATTAAGTTCCCTGAAGAGTGATGAAGCCTCACGGCTAACATCATGGCGGTTATTGTTGGAGCTCTTCGAGTTAAGATTTGAATGTATCGGTCTTGTCTCCGTGTGGTGCAGCGATACCGTCCTCCATGGCGCTCAGCCACGGTACCAGTGCTTCGGTATCGTGTCCAAAGTCGACTGATAATACTCTGACTTGTATTCAGAGCTAAAGCCACAGTACGTTGCCGGGAACCAGCTTCTATCATTCCCACGGCTCTGAGCATTTCTTCCCTGCTTAAATGACGTCGCCGCTCCATAATAACGTTGCTTTAATCAGTAGTAGGGAAACAGTAGCACTAATAATGTCTTCAATGCGTTGTATGTTTTTATAGGGAAAATATTGACAGCTGATTTTCATCTTTTACTCGAATTTGATTCACAGTTCCTGATTTAAATTATGAAATGCACCAAAAAGGATCCATATAAATTTATAAAATCATAAATTTATTACAAAGCCACATCTCAATCTCAAGAAATCCGCATAAAAATGCTTGATCCCTAGACACTTTTGATGTGTGTACTTATATTCAAAATACGAAAATGTGTCTCTTTGTCTGTTTCTTGCCTCTTCACGCTTAAACAGCTGAACCGATTTACATGAAGTTTGGTATAGATAGAGATTGATTTCTGGCAAAGGACTTAGCTTCATAGCTTTTATCTGAAAATCATTCTTTAAAGGTGTGAAAAGGTATGTGGAAGTTTGTATGGGAAATCAATTTAACCGCGCAAGCGAAGTCGCGGGTAGCTACTAGTTTTTTATAACGCCCATATTTTTTTCCAGGGTTATTTAGATTCGGTACCGTTTTAAATAATATGTATTGACATAATGTTTAAAATGAATTGTACTGTACTTATTACGTGCGATAGCTACATTACAACTCATTTCTCATTACAAACTTAAAATAGTAGGGGTCTTGTGCCTGTTATTTATTTATCTTAAATCAATATTATTAATATATAAAAGCTTGTAAAAATAATACCCACCTAATTGAAAACATCCTCCTATTTGAAGTCTATTAAAAACAATATAGTCTAAGATCCGAAGAGGGGTCGTCCTTAAGAGCCCTTTTACAAAATTGCGCCTCTCTTGTTTAGGTAAATACGGCCGCGAGCGTGTCCGAGTCGCACGAGCGAGACATCGACGCGGCGATGTTCAATATAGTGCGCTTTACCAAATTGATACTTTAATATGCAATTATTGATACAATAAATGTAGTCCAGGCAACGAATGCTCAAAAACAGGTATAGAGGGAATTGCTTAGAACACAATTTTTGACTTCGTGACTTTGTTAGGACTAGTTAGGAGGTAAACATATCAAAAGTCCCCGCCCGTAGGTTTTTTAGCGGATATTATGCCGTATAGCGCCCGTAAGGGTTACGGGGTCCTCAGTGGGCAGCCACTGCTGGGGCTCGTAAGGCTTGCGGGAGCCAGGTGTGAGGTCCATAAGTAAAAAAGAAAGTAAATTAGTGTCATTGAGAAACTGTAATTATCTAATAATAATATCTGTAATAATGATATCCGCTCTTGAAAATCTGTAATTATAGAAAAAAAAAATCAAATATCTCAGTAAAACTGTACTAAGTGTAGTTTTGTCTTTGCCTTCATAGTTCATTTAATAAACAGATATAGGCAATACTGGAAATACATTTCCAATCCAGACACAGATATGGTACGTAAATCAGCAAGTTACTGTCAATTGAACTTATGGAGCAAAGCAGTCTAATATAAAATATTAAAAATAAACTTTTTTGTTCTAGAAATGCATCCCATTAGTTTGAATTTAAAACAAAAAACCAAACTGCTGATATTGTAAACTATGTACCTAGTGTAGTAGTAAAATAACCATTAAGTCTGTATAAAACAGATAAAATATTTACATTTGAGTTTGACGCTTCCCTTTGTTCCTCGGCTTCGATTTCCAATCCAACAGCATTTTTTTCCTATATAAATTAACTTATTATTATAAATTTAAATAATAATAAATTTATTGTTATAAATTTAATTTCTTTTTTCATTGTCGACTTCCAATAACAATATGAAAAACTTACAGTTTCCGTTACAATCGAATCCATTGAACTTATGGTCGGTATAGTTTCAGTATTTTCGGGGTTGCCATTAAAATTTTGTTTCCATCTAAAATAAATATAACTGTGAATTTCTATTCTAAATATATTATTTATACTTGTAGCTTATACTTGTTATACTTGATCGAAATGCAACATTTTACCGTACTCTAGCTTTTTTTTACAGACATACGGTACGGTAGATTGTAAGAAGCTTAAGTTTAAATCGGGGAATGTAGGGTGGTCACAACTGGCCGCTTTATTGGAAAACGCGTTTATAGCTATATCTCTTAAATTTTTGAGTGTACGGAAAAAATGTAGTGTTTTTTTGTTTATTACTAAATTCTCTAACTTCTTTCTCTCAAACTTTTTATTGTAACTCTTACCGTTTTTCAATTGTTGTTGTTTATTTGAACATGTTTGTAGTTTTTCTTTTATAAAACCTTAAAAATGTGATTACCTAATTGATAAAAAAACATCGTATACAAGTTATCCGTGATTAAATTCTCTACAAGTTTTGTATATATTTTTGTATTAAATAAATACTTTTGAAGTTAATAGTCGTTAATGTGCGCAAAAACGGGCATTGAAATGAAATTACAGAAGTATCCGAAAAAATCACTTACTTTCATACAAATTGAAGCTGATGATGATTTGTGTTGGATTGTTATCAATTTATTGTAAAAAAATGTAATAAAAAAATAGAGGAAAAAAATATAAATAATATTAGTGATGAGAATCAATTGCTCGTATACAAAACTCTGATATACTGCGATATTGCTACGTTAACGACTCATAACTTTAAAAGTATTTATTTATTAAAAAAAGATTTATGCAAAAGTTGTAGGAAATTTAATGATGAATAATTTTTTATCAATTAATGGCATTTTAAAGGCTTTAAAAATAAAGCGAAATGTTATAAGCATATTCATTCAACTTGCTTCACTAGCTTTCTTTATGGCTGCATCATTCTTTCGTTTTCTTTTTTGACACAATGGTAAGCAGGAATTTTACGCCCCATTGTAAAAGCTAATAACAAAAATATTACTTGAAGCAATGATAATTAATAACTAGGGAGGTACTTATAATAATAAAAATTAATACGGTTGTGGAAATTTACATACAGTCAACGATTAAAGTTTTGCGGTCGTAGTATATCCAACCAGTTTTACGATGAATGCACTCGTAGCATCGCTCGGGACGCGTGCGGTACAAAGCGACATAGGTCCGACCTCTTAAGGCGCCTAGATTTGCATTAGTATATATTGCATTTTACGGGTGATGTTCAGAGTCTTATAAAATAATAATTAATGAACTTATTATATAAATATATACATATTTCAATAGTTCAATGATTGTAGATTAGTTTTATGAAAGATTTTTATAGTAATTCTATTTAATTCAATATCAAAATACGAGGTAAACCTGCGTTATTTTTTGGGGAAACTCACGGAGGTTAGATGTTTTTTTAATAATTAATGAGATGGAAAATCAAGATTCTAATACATTATGTTGCAACAAAAACATATTTCTGATGTAGTAGTAATTAAATTGATCTAATTTATTGAACATTATTGTGAGATTTAGGCGTTTTAAGTTGTACATATTATCGTTTTTTCCGTAAACTAGCTACGGTAGAAGGATCAGTACAAAAAAATGAAAATAGTATTTGCAAATATTCTACATTAATTTTCAATAGGAAGAATAAATCTACTGTTTACTTCTATTGGAAGTAGTCAAAACCTCTTCTAAGGGGGCAAACGAGGCGCTCAAAAATTCCGATTTATTGCAAAAAATGTGAAAGGGCTCTTAACCAATCTGCTTACCAGACAAATAGTATGATTTATCAAGTATTACGTTTGGACTTTATTTTTTAATTAAAAATATTAAGAAAGGTTTTTTATACGCAGCATAAATGCTATTTGTTTTCTTTATAAAAACATATTTTTCGTCTGGTGAGCAGATGGGTGATGGACAACTTCTCTTCGTATCTTGCACTAATATTACATTAGCCATTTTATTCATCCGCTTTCAGGCATTCCCTTTGAAACGGCACCCAACAAATTCGAGGCGCTCGCTTCGCACGACGCCATGGTCGAAGTGTCTGGCGCTTTGAACGTTGTCGCATGCTCTCTAATGAAGATCATCAATGACATCCGATTCTTGGCATCCGGCCCACGTTGCGGCCTCGGGGAATTATTGTTGCCTGAGAACGAGCCTGGTTCATCCATAATGCCTGGTAAGTTGCATATAATCATCGATATTAAAAAAAACCTAGATACACCACTGATATCAAAAGGTATTTGAACACTATACTGAATAGGAAATTGTGTCGCTTTTTCGATAGGTATTTAATCAATGTTCGTTTATTTAACGCATTTGAAGCACATTTCGTTCTCTTACTTACTATCAACTGATTTAGTAGAAAATATTTTGTAATCAAATGCCTATAACCGTCTCTTATCCTTGCGTTCCGTACTTGCTATATTCCTAACAGCGCATTTAAAATTACGCGAGGAGTCATAGAAATAAAGTCTCTTCCGCCTATAACAACAAGTCGTAAAATTTTACGAGCTTGCATTTCGATATGTCGTAACTCTTTGACGCATGCGTTTTAATTAAGATCTTATATTCAATGCATTAATGGTAACTTTGAATGTTAAATAAATAAAAATAAATAAGTAAATATTTCCAATACTTACAAAAATTAGCTTAGCCCTAAAATAATGCTTTATTTTGTTTTTGACCAATGGATCGTCCAATGTACCTTTTAGACAAGTTTCGACTACGATTTGTTCATGTTGTTGTATTGATCAAGGGTATTAAATAGGTAACTTCGCATGTAATATTTATAATTTCACTTTAGAGAATTGTTTTTGACGTGACAACGTCTTAAATTAGGTTGCGGCTGGGAGTCACTTATGAAAAAGTGTAACGCTCGGTAACGTTACGATGAGTCTCTCGTGTTAAGTTTAAGTTTACATGTACAATGTTTTAGTAAACAAAATATATTTCTATAGTTAAAATTTGTGCAATTCTTATTTTCATTCAATTCCTTGTTCCTATTGTGCAATTTAATTATATTCATATCAATAAATATTCTACCGAGAAAAAGACGTTGTCACGTAAAATCTTCGCCCGTAAAACCGACTTTACAGGCAACCATTTTTTTTTTTTAGTTTTTTCTGTGTATTGCGCACTCGCTTTACGGGAATGTAACAATACAAAAAAATATATGTTTAAAGGCAAAGTGAACCCGACTCAATGCGAAGCTTTGACCATGATAGCGGCCCAAGTGATGGGCAACCATGTGGCCTGCACCGTCGGCGGCAGCAACGGACACTTCGAGCTGAACGTGTTCAAACCCATGATGGTGGCCAACGTGCTGCGCTCCATTAGACTCATAGGTCAGTATTAAGTACATTCAATGATAATATTGCACTATGTGAAGCTACGACCTTTTATATAAACGGTGCTTAAACTTGTATGAAAACCGTACGTGTCATATTTTTAAACATAAGTTGGCGGAAAAGCATGGATCCCGACCGGCCACCCGTTTTATTAACTCAAAGGTCGGTATTGTGTATAGGTAAATAATAGTGTGGCGGCGACATCTACGCCCCCCATATGTAATTAATTTAGGGTGAAATCCTCTACCTTGTTAAGAGATGGTGCTACTGCCGGCGCACTCAGTAGTATAGGAAGCTTCACGCACTAAAGAAATTCGGAGACTAACACATTATATATACAATGCTCGAGTGGCTTACACCGTCAGTGGTAGCAACGGACACTTCGAGTTGAACGTGTTCAAACCCATGATGGTGGCCAACGTGCTGCGCTCCATTAGACTCATGAGTCAGTATTGAGTAAATTCAATGATAATATTGCACTATGTGAAGCTTTGACGATGATTGACAGACCTACACCGCCTTATTACAAAACATAGACGGAAGTTAAATCTGGACCATGAAGGTTAGAGAGCTCGCTACGATCGCTGTAGAAAATAGAGTCCCAGAAAAAAGGTTGTTGCAATAAAAGTGGGCTGCTGCGATTTGAAATTTTTACATTATTCAAGTAACTTCATCTACTTGTAGTCATAAACAGCTAACTTCACAGATACTACTTACCGACGGCAGCGCGGCTGGTGGCTGAAAAATGAACTAAATTCTACAAATTTTCAGGGACAGGCGGGCTAATGCTTTAGCACGTAGCGATCGTTCTCCTTCTCTCTAAACTCCATGATCTGGACTAAAACTGACGCTGACAAATTCATTTGCCATATTAAAAGACAGCGACAACATTAGGTTGAAACCAAGAATAACTTTAGTGCGCGTTTTTGTTTGTTTTGGAATAAGGGGAATTATATTTAAGTAAATGACGATACTTTAACTTGTATTCAAACCGAAAGTGTCATATTCGGTAAACACATTAGGTGGCTAAAAAGCATGTATTCTGGTCGACCACCCGTTTTAACACTGACTTTTTCGCCTAGACGCGGTCTCCACTCCAAAACTAGTCTACCCCAACAGTTATCGGTTCTGCGGCAAATATGGCCAGCCCACTGCCACTTCAACTTGCTAATCACCGGCTTTACATATTATCTTTATTAGCTTATCTGCAAAAGACTCATTAGTTATAGCTCAGTATTAAGTATAGTTCATGATAATATTTGAAAAGCAAAGAGGTAGGGTATAACGGATTTTCCGCTCGAATTGGAGCGCTCGTCTGGGGAAATAAAGACCACAGTAAAATAACACTTCCTTTTGGTGGTGTTGTGTTTCTGTCGGTGAGTAAGGTTCCAGGGCTGTACGGGGTGGGGATAGGGTCAGGGTAGGCAACACCGTGAGTGATATTATTGTATTCAAGCGTCTATCGGCTATGATAGCCGCTTACAATCAGGCGAACCTTAAGTGTTCCCTCCTTCTTACAACCTGGGATCCTTTAAAAGAGGCGTGAAGAAAGAACATGCAGGCCGGCAAGGTGAGACACTCTGAAGTGGTATACACCCCGGCAAACTTGAGGAACGACCATAGACAAGGACGAGCCTGCGCTGTAGACATTTTACATACATAAACGCATAATGCGCAAGTTTATTTGCATATGGTTTTGCTCAAAAAGTTTGCCGCTACTACCCAGAGAAACGTTTCAGCGGCATATTTGAAAGCAGTTTTTTATTTGGTTTTTCACTTAAATACACAACAAAATGATAAATAAACACTTATAAATAACGTAAAATTGCTTTCAGAAAGTTGTTAAATACCCAACGAATTAGAAATGTAATGGAATACGAACTGCGCTAAAAAGTGGTTCCACGTAAACTGCGATCATGTGGGCGGGGCGAATAAAATGCGATCAACACACCGATCATGGTATTGGTTGGGATTTATGTTTAACATTATCTTACCCAATGAATGCAAAGCCAGATTCATTTGCAGTTATTTAATTTGGCAAATTATTTTGTCTTGTCTGTGTGCTTGCCGCTAAATATTGAAGTTTAGTTGGTTAGAAACCCTGTTTTAACGGCCTTTGTTAGAGAGTAATGCTTCTATATTATTTTAAATTCGTTGTTGACTCCTTTAAAATTTTTTTATATCTGTCTTTTGTCTCTTTGATCCTCCCTTTTTTGAGGCGGTCCACTATGAAATGGTACGGCGCCAAAACACAATCTTTTTTCTTCGCCTGGAGTCTTGACTCTTCTCTCTCAAGTCCTCTACGCGCTTCAGTACCTAGCTACTTTTCCTATCTTTAGCGTAGTCAAGAGCGCCAGTTTGCATGTGATGTGGTGGCTTAAGAGGGAAGGCGGGCATTGTTTTTTTCATGCAAATGTTCTCGACTGATTCCTTCTTGATTTTTATCACAGAAGAAATGATTTTAGTGCATGAAATATAATTTTACTCATTCTATGCTCCTGTGTCTGTCATTTTTCGATAACTCGTGTTTCAAAGCAACTAGAAACCCTCAAAAATGCCAAAGATAATCTTTTTTTTTATCACCACTAAAGTCGTCTAGTGTGGAGATTCAGTAAGCATAATACAAAAAAGCAAAACGTAGAGGCAGTATAACTACTGATTATTCTATGGGGAATATTTCTTTTACATACCTATATCTAATTTTTGAGGAGGAAATCATCGAGAGCCAAACTTCGATTTTTGCAATTTTTATACGCAATTTTCAGCGTTAGCTGCAGTAATCCTCATGCACGATATTGGCCAATGAGCGACAGCAAAAGTTTTTTCAAATACCTATTTCTAAATATTCTCTTAGCTCGCGTCCGCTTTAAGACATTTTGATATTTGATCGGTCCATTGAATAATGAATGATGATGACCATTAATACTAATTTTGTTTCGCCAGGCGACGGCTGCCAGGCGTTTAACAAGAACTGCGCGGTTGGCATCAAGGCCAACGAGGAGAAGATCAACAAGATTATGCACGAATCACTCATGTTGGTTACCGCGCTCAACCCGCACATCGGCTACGATAAGGTAATCATCATCATCAGCCTATTATTGTCCCCACTGCTGGGGCACAGACCTTCCCTATGAATGGAATAGGAAGATTGGGCCATTGGTTCTTGGGGGTTCTCGCGTTAACTTGAACGCGGAGGAAGTCGCGGGCTGTCGCTAGTATTTTGATAAATAAGGCTGGTTTTCAAGATGTTGCTTACTCAGAAGACTTGGGTTCCAATCCGGATGCGGCAATGTTAAATAATACTTATTTTTGTATTGATATTATGTGTATTTCTATGCGTTACCCTTACATCCCATAACACAAGCCCTTCTTACTTTTGGGAGTTTCTTACACTCACACCAATCATTCATCATCATCATCTATCAATTAATGTCGCCACTGCTGGGGCACAGGGCTTCCCTTTGGATGGAATAGGGAGATTGGGTCATGACCTATCACGCGGGCCCAGTGCGGATTGGTGGGTGCCAACGACTTCAAATGCAGCCGGGACCAACGCCTTAACGTGCCTTCCAAAGCACGGAGGAGCTCGAGATAATAATTATTTTTGGTCATCCAAAGACCTAACACTGTGAAAGTTGCTTAACTTCAACGTTTGAACGTGCTAACCACTTGCGCCATTGAGGTCATCAACCACCAATTTTTGGTTTATTTATATTAATGTTCTGTGTGCTCCTCTGGATGCAGCCGGAATCAACGGCTTAACGTGGATAAACGTAATTTTAGAAAGAGAAAACATTGTCGAACAGGCATTCACCACAACATGTTATATTGTTGTTTTAAGCAGAAACTAGGCATTATTATCTTAACTTGAAACTTTTGACAAAAGTATTTCCTTATGATGCTCTGTACAAAATGTATGAAAAAGTAGAGACTGTTAGAAAATTAAGTTTGAAGTTTAGAGAATCAGGGTATAATTAGGCCCACTGCTAGATTGCTAATAAACAAAAAAAAAGTTGAAAAATAGTTTCTTATCCATAAAAAAATAGTTTCCATAACATGTTATCAGTAAAAAAGTCTATTTACATAATAAAAATAACTTGTTGTCAATAGATTAAAAAAATGTTTTTTCGTCACACAGGCTGCGTTAATAGCGAAGACTGCCCACAAGGAAGGCGGTAATCTCAAAGACACTGCGATCAAACTAGGCATCCTAACCGCCGAACAATTTGACCAATGGGTGCGTCCAGAAGACATGCTGGGGCCCAAGTAAACCTCTAGAAACGATCTCGAGCCATTCGCGGCTGTTAACTTATAAAAATCATACTGTAATTTAAATACTTTCATTCCTTTACGGACATTAAACGTATTACTATAGTATAAAATTTACGAAATGGACATGATCTTTTTTCCAGAATAAATTATCAATCACAGTTCTCTTTATGTAGTTCATTTGAATTATAATAATACTGAGCGTGCTGTTTGTGTTACAGTAAACATGTCTTGATATTTATTATGTAAAACAAGTACACTTGACCTTTGACTCGGTCGTGTAAATTGTTGTTTTTATATTGTCTACACGGTAAAATATTATTTATACCTAATCACTCTACTTTAGAGAAAAAAAACAAAGTTTTTAGTAAACTCAAATAATAATATTTGTCTTCTTGTTGCGATTGTGTTGCCAATTTGAAATTCTCATTTTACAACAAAAAATATGTATGCAATGCACAAATAGTATGTTTCATGGTCCTTAAGTGTAACGAATAAATGACTTTTATAAAATCATTAATATTATTTTTAACAATGAATCTATGTTGACCAGGATATTAGTTTTTTCTGCATTTACATCTGTAGTGCATTGTTTTAATGAAACCATGATAACGAAAACTCATTGTATATAGTCACACGTGTCGTTTATTAGTAATAATAGCTTATTATAATAATAATAGTTTCCTATCGAAAATTGTTAAAATTTAGCAATGTAATTATGTTAACCATTCATACAAATAGATACTGTTTTACAATAGTTTGTTGCCTGATTTTTAAGCTGCAAGATTTGGAATGTTTATTTTTACATTGTTTGGATTAATAAATATTATTATTATGTTTTATATAATAAGTTTATTTATTGTGTCATAGTTATCCATATTTTTTTCCTAAATGTTTAACAGCAGTTGTTTTAGGTCATAACAGATATAAAGTAATAACGCTGTAGCGCTTGGTAGATAACGAATCGGTACGAAGAGTGCAACAGCGTTATCGCATGGTTATCGCTTTTTATATCTGTTTAAGCCTTTACTGGACACCGGCACAAAAAGAAGTACAGAAAGTAATCTCCATGGGCGTTTTTACCCTAGGGTCAAGAACGCTATGACCGGGGGCAGCAGGATGTGAAGGACGGTTGCAAGAACTACGAGGGGCTGCAAAAGCATTCGCTACTGAGACCTATATTTTGATTTGATGTTTTTTGAAGTGAAAACTTATTTAGAGGCGTTGTACACTTTTTTTGTAATGGGTAAAAACTTAAACTCGCGTCATGACACGTGGCCTGATCGCGTCATGACACGTGGCCTGATCGCGTCATGACACGTGGCCTGATCGCGTCCGGATACGTGACCTAATCGAAAATTCATAAGACGAAAACAATAAAATTGAAAGGTTTTGACTTTAAATATATAGGACGAAACATAGTAATATTTTATTTTATCGTATTGTAATAAGTCTCTAATTAGGACGTCCAGGTGGCAGCTTCATTACGTAGAAAATGCATTTTTTTTACAATAGATGTCGCTAGGGGCGCTTAAATGTGATTTATGTAAGTTATTTTTCTGAGAGATAAACTTTTTAATGTAATATAAATTGTCATGTTTGTGTACGATAGCGCAATAAATAAATATTGTATTCTACCAAATAAATAATAGTACTTGTATACAAATAATTAAAGCAATTCGTGCAAAATTATTAAGTAACCATGCCAAAATATCAAAAATGCACAACGTTAATGTTCAAGTTTTCACTTCTGCCGGCACTCCTAGTGTGCAACCCGTCTTTTTTTTAATAGCGAGGTAGGCAAATTATTCTACCCCACCTGATGTTAAAGTCCAAAGGCGAAGATAGCTGGTACAGCAGTTATAAACTGCTACACCAACCATCCCCACCTTGCCGGCCTGCAAAAATGCTTCTTCATGCCTCTTAAAGGACCCCAGATTGTAGGAAGGAGGGAATATGTGCGCGGGCAAAGAATTCCACTTACGAATAGTACGAAAACGAAATGAGAATGAGATGTGCTAATTCTAGGGTGGTAATTGCCCCGGGGCGCCAGATTTTAAATACGCCCATGCTAATCTAATGTATGTATTTCTCTGATTACCTACGCTCGGCGGTCGCGCTAGGATTGTCAACTTCGGCTTAAGCAGAAAAAATACTATCGTGGTAGTGGCAGTCACTCGTATCTAGTTGTTCGATTTATTGTCCAAACGAGAATGAAACAGAACGGAAGTTTAAACCAATAATAACAAAAATATTTCAATTTTAATGTTATTGATAAATTACAAATAAGAAAAAAGCGACATCTCACAGTTTAATATTGAATTTAAACAACCGCCTATTGAACACTTAGAGCTATCCTAATATTGGTTAGTCTTTTGACAGCTCCGTAAAGTATCGTTATTGAGTCATATCTAAAAAAAAGTTGTAAGTACATATTTTTACTATGGTAAATTATCTTGATCATTTTTGCAAAAGTGATATTGAATGTTGTTGAACTACTATAACGATATACTTAACTAAACAAAATTAATAAACACAGCAGTTGTTTAATAATTTTTTAGTAAAAATACAATTTTGTTGCATAAAAAAAATGTGTTTACCAATGACACAGAATATATACACTACGCGAAAAGAAGCGACACTTAAGCATGTGTGCTCGTAAAATCGCCCGCGGCTATGTGTGGGTGTCTGGAGGTGCGCGGGGCGTGGAGAGGGCAGTCGCCGACTGCCTCGACCGAAGGCATGGCAGTAGCGAAATAGTAAAGTAATAGCGTTGCACTGCATTGCACGCACAGACTGATTCTTATTATTTAGATAATAATAAGAATTATAAAACGAATCGAAAAAGGAGAAAATATATAAAAGTTAGGAATTTGTTATAGTACCTACATTAAAAGATTAAAAATTGATTATAAAATCAAACCTATCCTTCATTATTAACCCCAGTATCCTTGAATCAGTTTACATTTAATAACTTACTATGCATAAATATTCATTGGCACAATTGGCCCATTTTGCCCCAATGCCCCATCATACCCCATCTTGCTTCATAAGGCCTCTCTGAACAGAAAAATAAATATCAAATAAAATGTTTAACGGATTCCTACAAACAACATACCATATCAAAATACATAACACTAGTAACCAAAAATCAAAAAGACATAAATGGGGTGATCATTATTACCTTAAAAAATGATGTTTCATCTTACAAAAAATTAGATCGACGAAACGCTAAACCAGTTTTCCGTTTGTTAACAAAAGACGCATGCATTACCGTTCAGTTTCTCTCGCACTAACCGTTGGTTGAATGAGGCTTCCTATTGGCTTATTGTTTTATATTCACAGACGTCTAGTTTCTTCTATGTGTACGGTACCCCATCTTACCTCGCTACCCCGTCATGCCCCCCTTCCCCTACGGTACAGCCGAACTCTTTAACAAAATATTATCCCTTCTTTGGGCGTAGTGGAGTTGGCTCACCTTGAGGAGGCCAGATGCGTATGCTCTAGGGTATGCCCGGGAGTGGATCCACCATCCTCTTTATCATCTCATAGGCAGTGGGACGAGCCGCTCTGTTTGCGTATTCAGAGTGATCTTTTATTGAGTGATACTCTGAAAGCGCCACTGGGCGTGCTCGGCTTCTAGCGATATTTCAGGCAGAGTCTGGTCTGTCTGTAAGCTTTCCCTTCAGCCAATATCGGGACTTTGCTTGACAAGAGCACTGTCTAATGCGATATCGCTTAGACTTGGCGTCAAGACTAATCATCTCCATCGCTGTCGTTGCGGTACTCGCGTCGGTGAGCTGGGACATAATGGCCTCACATGCCAAATGAGCACTGGCCGAGTCTCCCGCTACGTCTGCATCAATGACGTCATCCGAAGGGCTCTCGTTGCTGTCAACGTAACAGGTCCTGGAGTCTAATGGCATCTTCCGCGACGTTGGCACGAGACCTGATGGGGTGACGCTCATTCCCTGGAAGCAGGGTCGTCCTCTTGTATGGGACGCAACCTGCGTGGATACGCTTGCTCCGTGCCATACAGGTAGTACCTCCTTTGACGACCGGAAGTAAGCTCCGGTGAAAAACAGTCTCGTGATAGTAATCTGTGCTCGTGAGCATGAGCTCTGTGTCCCATATAAAACTGACGACCGGACGTAGACCCGGTTTGACGCCGTGCTTTGCTACTTCGAAAACCGTAATCATTGTCATACACCCTTAATGGTTGCGCGACTGTTATAGAAGGATAGCCAAGCAGAATTGGCATTAAGGAAATAATTAATTAAGTCCTTCCATAACAAAAAAGGGGCTCCATATTTCGCCCACTTTTATTACATGTTCATCCATCAATGCCTCTTGGTAGCCGCTGCAATAAAGTTTTTTTTTAATAAACAGAGAAAATAAAACTAGAGAAGCTTGCTTCGACTACAGTATATTTTGCAATTATAGCCTTATAACAAAGTTTACATTTTTGATGCACTAGTGTCTGATATATCTTTGGTTCTTTACATTCAAAGGGGATACTTTGAATTATCACATTATGAAACTTAGGAATGTCCTTGGAATTTTATGTTGACTAGACAAAAATAATATTTCTATTTAAATAATAATTATGTTAACTATTAGTATACAATTATGACATAATGGACTAGAAGAATTAACTAAACTAAATAACAACAAATACATAAATTAGCATGTGGAAGGCATCTTAATATAATTGATTATGTATAAAAGTGTATTCTTATTACATAAAAACATCTTTGATATTTTGGAACTGCTTCACAGCAAGGTCAACTGGCAAGTCAAAATTGTAGGGGGTCAAACGGTCTAGACTTTGTAAGGCATCCTGAAAACCAGTATTTACAATGTAACTAGTTGAAGAATAATAAGTGTCTATTAAAGACCTGCTCTTCAAAATTATGTTTAACCATACAACAAGTTTGTGAGTATTCAGTGCAGCACAAACAAAGGCCTTAAAATGAGCATCATAGCTTCTTTTGTAGGGCATGTGTGAGGCAATAATACTACCAATCACACTTAATAGACTCTGCCGGTTTGTAATAGCAGTTCCTCCAACTATATCTAGATTGAAACTTTGACTTAATTTTCTAGCAGGTGTAGAGTTAAACCTGTCACCATCATTCATATCATAATAGCGTAGAATTAATTCCCATATATGTGTTGCGTGGGATGCAGTGGATCTACGGACAGGAAAACAACCTATTAATGGAACAAGAGATGATGCTTCTGGTCCGACTAAGCCATGTTGTAATAAATCTCTTAAATTGACAGCCAGATGCTTACGCACTGCTGTGGTGAGTGGTGCATCATTAATAACAACACCACCTTCTTCTGATTCACTATCATAACTGTCAATCATAGTATGTGTTGGCCTGTCCCGAGACACTAAATGGACCACAGCATCAATAGACATTTCTAACTTTGCTCGGAGGTTACCCCAGTGTGTGACATTTGTTGATTTCAGATTGTAACTTTTATTTGTGTTCGGTGAACACCCAAATTGGGAAACTGTGAATATTTGTATCAGAGTTGATGCTTTTCTCATTAAATTAATAGTTTCAGCTCTCAAATCATCATTACTCTTATTTTTACTGAAGTTTCTTTCAAAAGTTTCTGATTTTAGTTTTTCCTCTGTCGTCTCTGACTTAGTATTAATAAGATCTTCATTTTTCATGACTTTAATGAATTTTTGCATATCTTCTATGTGAATTTGGAGTTTACTTATGATTTCATCTTTTGATAGCTGCCTGTCTGCATATTGGCGGACAGCACAATTAATTTGATGCCTCAATTCATCTGCATTTAAAGGTTGCTGACATCCTTCTTCCAAACTTTTATCAATTTCATGTCTTAGGTGTTCAATAAGTGTTCTGTGTTTACTATCACCCGATAAACTAGGGTTGGCGGCAAATCTCTCGAGCTCTTGCAATTGAGTCTTTAGCCTTTCTATGAAATGGTTCTGCCGCGTTCTTTGACGTCTCATTTTCTTCTCTAGTTCTGCACATTCATTACAAGTGGGCTCACCAGAACTTCCTTGTGGGGCCGCTCTAGAATCAGGGACCCCTCGAGATGTAAATTCTTCGAGAGCTTTAAGCATTGAGTCCTTCTCTTCCGGTGGAGCTTTTAGTATTTGCCGTAATCGAAACTCTACTTGAGCGAGATGGGACGTCAAAGAGAACACAGAGGAAGAGAGAATTTCTTGTTCTTCTTCCAAAGCGTGTAATCGATCACCAGGTAAGATTTCTTGTACATTTTCGTCACAGAGAGTTTCTTTGGGTGCCCCCAAAGGTTCTCTACGAGGCTCTTGCCAGATTGGTATTTCACTGTCTTCGTCATCATAGCTCATAGTATCCATTTTATTGAAAGTAATGACCAAATTAAACAAGTGTTTCATAAAACATCGTGTATCAGTTTGAAAATCTATTTATTGATTTCAGCAAAACAAATTGAAAAAAAAACTGAGATGTCGAATGTCGATATGTTTTTTTTTGTTGAAATTCTCCCGTTTTAGGGAAGGCAAAGGGAACAATGCCCATACAGGTCTGGTCTTTAATTTATATTAATCTTCTTTTTGTTTTTACACTAAAATGTCGGTGTGACGCATTCCAATGTTTCTTGGAGTGTTTGGCACGAAATGTATCGAGTTGGTTTTTTCGATAAGCTTCTGTGAGGTAGTCAACACTACAATAAAGTTCTCACGTCCACTTGACCGTAATAGCGTATATTTTAGAGATTCCACTAATTCTTCAGTTGCGCAGATGGTTGTAACACAAAATCGCACCAATTTTATTTCACAATATCCACTATGAACGAATTTAAGAATAATTAGAGATGTGCCGAGTCAAGCTGACTCGAATAGCAGGTACTCAAGTACCTCTAGTACTTGAGTATACTCAAAATATTGTATTCGGATCCACAGTACTCGAGTACAGGTTTCGAGTACTTACGGTATTACAATACTCAGTCGTTGTATAATGCGATTCAACTAAGAATAGGACCGACTGGGCGCCATATTTTGACGTCATAGCTGTCAATTCATTATTTGTTTCTTATAAGTAATTACCTATTTTAATTAGTCGAACTCTCGTTTACCAGTTTAGCTGTAGAATTTTTGTAAAGTTTTACTGTTTTTTACTAGTGACTTTGTGATAGGATGGCTCCGAAGAAAAAATCCGAGGTATGGAATTTTAATACACCTAATATATTAACAAATGAAAAAATGGATTGCAAAGAGTGTAAAAAAACATTTGTTAATTTTGGAAACATCATTCAAACGTGCCTAATGAAGTTTCACTTCATTAAAATGTCTTCCTTCATCAATCAAGTTGAAATAAAATATTGGTTTTCAAAGAATTTATTTATTTAGCATTAAAAATCGTGTTTGTGAACTAATTATAATATGTGTAAAGACCCTGCGAAAATATGAAATTTGTGGCATAAGGAGTGAGCACAAACTACCTTGAATCAAAGATTTAAATCGTTAGATATGCCCTGATACCGAAAATCTGTGGCTATATTTGAAATGACGATAAGATGATGGCCGTTTTGACACATTACAATAGCGAAGTGAAAAGTCAATTTGTTATAGAAAAATCAAACTAATGTTATTAGTAGACCAGTTGAGTCTTCGCCTGCGCGGTAAAGGGTGTGGGGGAGGACGAAAACGGGGACCGTCAGAGGGGCAGGCGGCAGGGACAGTCATGTCATTACGTGCTCACCGCCTGCACCTCTCACGGTCCTCGTTCTCGTCCTCCCCAACACCTTGTACCCCGCAGGCGAGGACTCAGTTAAGCGGTTTACCTATAAATGCGAGTCTCTTCTAGATATTATATTTATTTAAAATTGCTGGATATTTTAACCGATGTAACAAGTTGTAGTTCATTAAAAAGCATGAATAAATGTCTACAAGCTCAGCGATCCTATATGCAGGGATCGTATCGAATCATTTATTTTACATTTCGAATTTCGAAAACTACAAATGCTGAGGTACGTGGTGAAAAAGAACACTGCAATTTATAATATTACTAGCTACCCGACTCGGCGCACTACGTACCTACTGCCTTTGAAACAGTCGATAAATGTAGTTATCTTTAAATTTCTAGCTTACATAAATTAAGGATTTAACAACCAAAATAAAACAAATACAGAAAAAAGTAGCATAGTTTATTAAGATAATTAAAAGGAAAATGAAATTTCAATAACGTATACTTCAATGGCGTATCAGCGAAATTTAAAACGGGGTTGCTTAGCTTTCTTTGTCCAATAATATCTAAACACAACTCTCCCTTTATCTTACAGTACCTTAATACTTCATGGGAAATTAGAGAATGGTTCCATATTTTTGGAAAGTAAAACCAAATGGAGTTGCATTTATTTCATGTTGAAACCAAAACTATAATATTGATTCTTACAATATAGAATTTGTACCCACCGTCACCTTGCCAAAATATCAGCAAGCTTTGTAAAACATGTTGGATGATCTGAGTATTTTCTTTGAATTACAATAATCCATCAGATTTATTTTCCCGTATTTTTTGCTTATGATATGGCAACTCAGTTGGCTTGTCCAATTTCATCTTTGGATCCAATGGCGTTGCGACTCTTTGCAGTTTGACATTCCAAACTTCTCTAAACTTTTCTTAGTGTACTCTGTTTGATTCAGATGAATAATTCCATTTTCCTGTTTAACTTTAAGTCTTAGAAAAGAGACAACTTTACTAAGATCTTTCATTTCGAAATTATCGACAGATTACTTTTCCTTCCTATTATCCCAGAAAATAAAGAGATCATCGACATATATAACTATGATCATGAAACTGTGCCTTCTCTTTCTAATATAAACACATGAAGCACCACGTTCCGTAATGTCGAGGTCCGGCCGATCTATTCGTGTACCGCGCCGATATACTTAACTTATCTATGAAAACGTCTTTGATAGACAGATGTCTTAATATTAGAAAAATAATCTTTTTGCCGTAAAAATGACTGTTAGAGAATATGTTGATTTTTGTTAAGAAAACGCTGTTTGTTTGTGAATTATAAAACATTAAAGTGATTAAGAAGAATAGCGTGTTTTTTATGTCGTCAACGACTTTACGACATTCACGTTATAAATGGCTACCCAACGTTCGGCTCGAACAATCTATTTGTTGTGAAAATATATTACGATACTGCGCCTCCTTCACAAAACGGATGATACTTGTGTTCTAACGTTTGTTCAGCGTTTTTCCGAGTTCACAAGACTCGACGCGACGTTTATGTATCACCTTTATGTCTACTAGTGAGGTGCTCAACATTTTGTTAGGTATCGTTTTACAAATTGAACAAAATATTTGTGAGTGTACTAGTAGTGTGTTTCTGAAAAACCCAATATGGTGCTAACACGCTCAGGTTCTGGCGAAAACGGCGGTCAACAGATGCCATTAACAGAAAATATCACAGCGCACACATTGGATTCTGGCCTGGCCCACATGTCGCCGGATACCTCACCTTCGCCTGTTGCGGGCGCAAGCGGTTCCACCACATCTACAGTGCAGTCTATAGCCACACCAATGATCATGACTGACCAACAGCTGAGTTACCTTTTACAGTCTTTGCGAACTCCACAAATGTTCACTCCAACACTATCAAATTTTGCAAACTGTACAGCTCGTTTTGATGGGTCTGGTAATGTGGAACCTTTTATTGATTTCATCACTATTTATAAACAGTGTGTCAACATGCAAGATAATATTGCATTACAAGGCCTGCCAATGCTACTTACTGGTTTTGCCGCTAAATGGTACCAAGGCATCAAACACACTGTTAATTCATGGCAGGAGGCTCTTGTGATTATGAAACAAATGTTCGGAGCACATATTCCACCCCATAAAATCTATAAAAAAATATTTGAAAGAGAGCAAGGAGAGGATAATACAGATGTATTTGTGTGTAAACTCAGAGCTCTGTTTGCACAACTACCCTCAAATTCTTTGTCTGTAGAGGTACAGTTGGATATGTGTTATGGTTTGTTACATAGACGAATCAGAGAGAAGGTCAGCAGAAATTCCTTCAGTACCTTTGAACAATTGTTGGAATCCACTCGCCGAGTTGAAGACTTGCTAGAGGAGACACATCCAAGGGTTAAGAGGCCATCTTCTGATGTGTACAGATTAAACTCTAACAGTGATATAAAGACTACTTCTCCGGCTATTTCGGTAACAAAATCTTCCACCAATGAAGCATCCTCCCCTTCGGTTGCTGACTATGAAAGAAAATTCCGTCCCCGCTGCATATATTGTAAACAATATGGACATAAGCGAGAACAGTGCCGCAAGTTATTAGGAAAGGAGGATGTCCAGAAGCTATCACAGAGCAAAGCGGTCCCAAATGATCACAGCACTATTGTATGCTTTGGATGTGGTACGCCAGGAGTTATCAGGTCTAACTGCACCATATGTAAAAGTAAGGGTGAGTCAACATCGACTACAGAATTTCAGTCTGTACAATTATGTAGTACTTTGGTTGATGCTCGTCCCGGACCATTATTGAAGATAAGTATTCATAGTATTACTGGTCATGTTTTAATTGACACAGGAGCTAAAATGTCTATTGCTAGCGAAAGCCTCAATAATGTATTAGTTAAAAATAATCACCGAATGACCAATTCTGTTGTAGAAATGAAATTAGTTGATGGCTCTATTTGTAAACAAAATGTCAGAATATGTACTGTAAATTTTACTGTGTGTGGAATTGTTGTCCCTACTGTTTTTATTGTATTACCTGGAGCCACTGATACATTGTTAGGTATGAATTTTATATGTGATGCGGGCATGGTGCTTGATCTTAAATTTAATCCGTTTTCATTAAAGTCCAATAAAGATGTGTACTACCCTTTAGAGTTTGAAGGCAACGAAGACAGTCTGGGCTGTTCAGTCGCAGGGCTACGTGATGACGAGGGTACCACACTATCCCTTTCGGAACGACAGAAACTTTCTGTAGTATTAGAGGAAAACGCCGACATCTTTACACCAGGGGGAGCACCCAACTCGTTCGCAGTACATCGCATCGATACTGGAGACAGCGCACCAGTGGCTGTGCCTCCTTATAGATTAACCCTTGCCAAGAAAGAGATTATGGGCAATGAAATTAATAAGATGCTGGAACAGGAGGTTATAGAAGAGGCTGAATCTGAATGGGCGTCGCCAGTAGTTTTAGTTCCCAAGAAGAATGGGGAGATGCGCTTCTGCGTTGATTACCGAAAGCTCAACGCCGTCACCCGGACAGACAAGTACCCCCTCCCGGTTATAGATGACCTCCTGTTTTCAACCAAGACTAATTGTGTGATGTCTACCTTAGATTTAAGGGCAGGCTACTGGCAAGTAATTGTTGCGCCAGAAGATCGCCCCAAAACAGCGTTCACCACACCCTTCGGAACGTTTCAATTTCGTCGGATGCCGTTTGGCTTAAAGAACAGTCCGTCGACG